ACTACAAGCACACAAATCAATGACTATGGGATGCTTTTTTTATGGCATTCAGAGTTGTATATTAACAATTTGTTGATGGCTGGGATGGATGCAAGATTAGACGCACGGCTGTAGCTGGTGGTGCCACCCATGTCCTGCAACTTTGTGAGGGTGATAGCCACCTCTGTGATGGAGATAGTCATCTCTATCCATTTCTCCTCAATGGCAACATGTTGACTCTTGAGAATTCTCATTGCCCTCTAAGCAAACAAGAGCATTTGCAATGGCCTAGACAAACTCTGCCAAGCTGTTTTGCAGCTGGTAGGCTTGGGGAACATGAGCCACACTGAGCCAGAGTTTCCGTCAGCTTTTCAGGGGCAGGCCGAGAAGTGGCTGACCCCAAGCTAACTTGTGCCAGGCAAGTTGGTGTGTGACAAACTTCGCTAACTTGCTATCCACCCGTTAGCAGGGAAAATTCAGACACACATGCCTTGCCTGGCACTTATCCTGCTGTTGTTCCTAGGTAGGTACCCTGGAATTGCTGAGTTTAATTTGTTTAGAAGTGAACTCGTCAACTGTGTCCAGGGACAGGCATCATTTCTTTGTCAGTAAACTGTCCACTCCGCTGAATGTCCTCTCTGGCAACACACACCAGGCCAGCAGCTTGTCTGCGTACTAGGCAAACTCTGGCTAGTGATCCAGCATGGACACCCAAAAAGTTTTTTTTGTGCATATTCAGCCAAAGCAGCTGCATGCAGTGTCATTTTTTTAAATGCTCACTATCCAACTGCTGCAATGCTGTCTATGTAGTATATTTCTTCATTTTCTCTGTAACATATGTACAATTATGAAATCAACTGCTTCCATACTGACTATGGTCTGTACAATATTTCCAGCTGTTGTCTCTGAACCTACCTGGTCTCTAGTAAAACGTCTTAGTAAAAAGACTGGCATAATGTGCTTTGAGTCTGTACAATATTACAAAGTAATCTGTTACACATGCTAAATATGGGATGGCAGAATACGTTGTCACTGAATGGTATTTTTTTCGGGTTGCACAGATACTTATCGAGTACCAGTGCAGATACTTGGCATTTTCATGAGAACTACCAGAGTTGCAGCGGTTGCAGCTGGGACCTGGTTCTGGCACTCCACAACTGTCCTGAAATCATTAGTCTGTATTGTTTTAGAAAAACTGTCACATGACGATAAACAAAAATGTATCAGTACTCGTACTTGTAAGTACTCGGCAAGTACCAGTACTTGTACTCGCAAAACTGGTATCTGTGCATCCCTTTATTTATATTTATAAAAACAGAATCATACAATAAAACAGATGTACAAATCCCAGGAGCTCGGTATGCTCCTTACAAATGACAGCTGCCTCCTAATTTTTGAATTTGTCTCTAGTGTAGTCTTGGAGCTCAAAAGTATCGGTACATGTACTCGTACTTGTACCGAGTACTGTACTTGGTATCTGTGCAACCCTAGTATTTTTTTTAATTTATTTTTTTGCATTGGTACATGTCCCCATGGGGGTGCCCAGCTCCCCATGCTGTTTGTTTGACAATACTTTGCCTATTAGTCTTAAAAATGGTCAGACTTAATTTTCAAGATTTTCTCCATTAACAGGGTTTGGATTACAGTGAGCAAGTTCTGGGATTTATGATAAGTTTAACAAATAGCCCGCAAATTAAACCCAGGCACATTTGCTCATCATTATTCACCAATCTATTTGGATCCTTGCACCAATAAACTAATGTAGCAAGCAGTGCCGTAACAATCGCCATAGCGACCCAGGCGGCCGCTATGGGGCCCGGACACAGGGGGACCCTGCCAGGGCATCCATCTGATGCCGTGTGGGCTGCCTGGGTCGCTGTGGAATGTAAGGGTGCTGGCTGTCACTGACACAGCTCAGCAGTGGCGTTTCCCCTCACACCTGCTGTGGAGCTGTGTCAGTGACAGCCAGTAGCTACCGCAGAAGAGGCCAGCATTTGCAGTGAAGGAAGAGGCGGGGCCCGCCTAAGAGCAACCCCACCTCTTCTTACATTACTGGCCAGCGACCTAAGAGCAGGTGGGGCCAGTAATTTAAGAGGAGGCAGGGCTCAGGGACGGAAGAGGAGGCGGGGCCCGGCGACCACGGAGGCGGACAGCGCTGGCAGGTAAGAGGTATGCAGCCCATCTGAGACCCTGCAGAGCCCACTATAGAGAGTCTATGGTGGGATCTGCAGGGTCACTCTCAGGTGGGCTGTTTGGTATATCAGGTGGGCTCTGCAAGTGGCATAAATAGCAATCACGGGGCCACATACAAAATTTTGCTATGGTGCCCTGTGATTTCTAGTTACGCCCCTGGTAGCAAGCCAAGGAACACATTAATATTCCACCATATTGGAAAAAGCCCCTGAGGTATCTCCTAACAAGATACCCCCAGTGATATGCATACCACAGGCAAGGCCAGATTTATACTTCCAGCCCTCAAGGCCAACTGTCTTCTGCCACCCCTTCATACTCCAGTTGACTGGCTAGCCTTGGTATCACACTAACTAAATAACACATCATAGTCACAAAAGACACTGAAAGGGTGAAGATTTTAAAAGATGCTATTTATCCACTCTGTTAGTATACCCAAAACTGATGACTAGAAGAGTAGGACAGACTGTCACCCTGCCAGCAGTTTAGTTGCATAGACCAAGAGTGGGTGAACTGTAAGTAAACATTGCAAAATACACAGACTTTGCAGGGGGATCCAAGTGATTTTTTTTCTGACAGAGTGGAATTCTAAAACCATCCATTATACATGCCCTGACCCCAAGTTGAGAAGCACTGTTAAAATATATATGTAGAAAAAATATATAACATGCCAACAAAAACAATCCACCAGGCCTAGCAATTTCTAAGTTGAATAATTATTGTTCTTTCAGGATAGAATGAAACAATTAAAATGAGTTTGCAGAAGTAGAACTAAAATGTCCTTTGTGATTCTTCTGAGAAAGTCTAAATAGGATTATGTGTTAAATATGTGTAGCTTCAGGCCAATTTAAAGAAACGTTATCAATTGTTGCATGTGGCTGCGCCAGAGATAGTTTCAGCAATATTTGTTTTATTACTTTTTCAGAATAATGCTTTTGCTTGGATGTATATTGTGGTTTGTTTAGCTACAGTGGAGAAAAAAAAAGGTAAATGTCATTTTTTTTATTTTAATCACAGCTAAAAAAAAATGTAACCCCAAGCAAAACCTTTTCTTGAAGTTTTGGATAGATTGCGGAAGGGTCAGAACTTAAGTCCAGTTTCTACTGCTGTCTGTGTCCCTGTTGCAGAGATTTCTCCCCATTTTCTGTTCCCCCGTCAAGAGGGCAGGGAATGAGGTGAAATCTTTCCAACAAAGATACCAGTAGTAGGAATTTTTTTGAATTGGGAAAAGTAGATCCCTTTCACTACCTGTCCAAGCAACACCGGTGTCAATTGATCATCTCAAAATGTATTTTAAATCCATGCAACTGGTAGGAGGAAGCCTTACTGAACGAAAGGACTGTGATCTCAGACTCACCAGTAAATAGTGTAAGTGATCACAATTTTCCCTCCAAGGAAAGGGTGAGATATTAATACATTCAAAACAAACGATAGAATTGGAAATATTGTCCACATAAGCCAATCAGAAATGTTTTCACGTCACAGTTCTCAAAAGCTTACAGCAGTAATATGTTTGGCTACTATACATAACAGCTTCTGTTTCCTGTGGTCTGCCTATCTTCTCTGTACATGCCTGGGTCTTGGCTGGTCCTTATAAGCCACTGGTAATGAGGGCTCCAAACTAGTAACATCTTAAAGTGTGATGGCAGTCTCTTTACAGGCTCATTAAATGGAACTCCAAATATTTTATTTTTAATCCCCTCCTTCCCATATTAAAAAAAAATGCCTCACAGTACTCCAGCACTAAGTAGCTCTCACATGTCATTATGGGACTGCTAGTCAGTGCAGGAGGAAGAGAGGACAAACCTGCAATGTCATTTGAACAGCTAGAAGACTGCCATGAAAAATGTAAGTATAGTGGATTTTTGTTAAAAATAATGTCTGGGGGAATTCAGGGAGTGTGGGTGGTTAGTGGTAGTGGATATAGCTGGAGGGTTGCTTTAGCCACCTATTTTAAACTTTTTTTACATTATGCTTACTTTTGAAAAGAAAAAGGTTGGACATTTAGTGTTTTTCCTCATACACGGTACATTGGTATGTATAGGTGTATCCCCCACTGACTGTTGTAGTCTGGGTTGCTACCAAGCCAACTGTTCATCACAACTCAATACACTTCAAGCTGCAGGGCTACATCATTTATCTCATTAAGCCCTGATGAAGGGGGTGTGCTTTGGACCTCCAAAACACGTTGGCTACTCTACTTAAATGTCCCCTCACCCTAATCAAATAAAATAGTGTCTGGACTATTTTAATTGGTCTGGCACCTAAATTCCTATATCGTCTGTTGTACTCTGACAGCTGACGCCCACAACAGTTAACATACATAAACAGTGACGGCAGCTGGTTGGTTGTTCGGCCAACAGTTTTCCACCTGACTCCTTCAACAAGAGCCACTCATGGATCAGATTTCAGCTGATGCAACAGGAAATAGCCACCATTTGTTTCTTGTATGGCCAATTCAATCAATATCAGGAAAATCAGCTTTAAGGAAGGGCTGGTGACTAGTATTTTTCCCTCTGCTTGCTTTTTTGTGTGCACAGCTTCCAAAGTACAGATCCTCTTTAATATGGAACATATGAACATAAGCATGTGGTGAGTGTGGTATTCATTCTCTGCTTCAGATATTGCTGGCAGCACACATACCATGCCAAATATATGATTGTTTTGGCACACAGTACATATAAGCGGCATTTGCAGATATAAAGACATAATATTTGCAAAAATATAGAGAATGCCTACAAGAGGATAGTTCTTCTTCGCGAAATAAGCCTACATAGAGAATGCCTAAAATGCCTACAAGAGAATAGTTCTTCTTCGGGAAATAAGTTTACCTTTGAACCCATTTGAATGCTAAGCCTTTCTGTTCCAGATGAAAAAACAGAAGATGTTTGACATTTGTATGGCTCTTCACTTCTGTCTTTCACCTACAATAACAAAAAGAAAATGTATGAAAAAAAAGATGTAGACAATGCTACTTAAGTTAGGGTAAGGTAGATCAAAAAGAAAAATACTCAGAAGTACAAAAGTGGCATCTTAAAAGCAGAATGTATTTTCTTGTCATCACTACCGTTATAGATGCAGTAAACAAAGGGTTATTACTTTTTCAGAAAAGGCAACATTGTACTCCATGGTACTATAGAAGATAGGCTTCTGCTTCCTTTTGGCCCATATCTCCATAACACTAATAATGATATTGCTTCCCAAGCCCTGCTTTATTTAAATAATCCGTATCTTGCACCAGTGAATGATAAAAAGCCTGCAACAATTGCTTGCAAGTTGGGTTTTTGTTGGATCCATGTTGTGAACCAGCAGGTCCTGCACAGCTGGCTAGTAATTTAAGAAGGAGTATTTTGCATGGTTGTGCCCACTTATTTAATATATAAACGACTGTTTATGTGTTGTGTGTGATGGAAGTCATGATACGGGCAGCACACTGGTGTAGTGGTTAGTGCTTCTGCTTTGCAACACTGGGGGTCCCCAGTTTGAATCCCAGCCAGGGTCATTATCTGCAAGGAGTTTGCATGTTCTCCCTGTGCTTGCATGGGATTACTCCGGTTTCCACTGGGTACTCCGGTTTCCTCCCACACTCCAAAGACATGCTGGTAGGTTAATTGGCTCATCTGCAAGTTGGCTCTCTATGTATGCATGTGAGATAGGGAATTCAGATTGTAAGCTCCTTGAGGGTAGGGACTGATGTGAATGTGCAACTATGTAAAGTGCTGTGTAAATTGTCGGTGCTATATAAATACCTGTAATAAATAAAATATATTTTTTCATTTTTAGAATTTTTGTTTTCAAATAGAAGTTGATAAAGATTGGAGCTTAACTGAAACCCTTTACCTGCTAAATTAAGTTATTTTTCCTTGAATGCAGCAAACCCAAAAACTCATCCTTTTGAAAGGACAAGCTTTTATGGCCTAAATTTGTATTAACTGACTTTCTTTTGTATGTATGTATATGTACTATTATATACCTATTAGATGGGGCAGTGGTGGCAGAGGTGGCTAGACATATTTCTGCTTAGAGCAGATTTCCTATAAAGGCATGTTACCTATTTTCTATATTAACGTTTCTCACAAAAAAGTACAAAGAATGACAGACAATGGCTACAAGTAGCAAGATGTTTTATACATGAGCAAGACAGCGAGACAAAAGCAGACAACAAATAAGAAGTATAGAGGGACACTTGTATGCCTATTATTAAATAAAACAACGAGGGCAACATGATAAAAAGGGACTACCTAGGAATGAAAAGAACAGCATTCCCAGTGACAACTAGACACTATTTTGCCTGTAATTAAATCATTTACATACGCTAGACACATTATTAAAGTAGATCTAAATCCTAACTGGACAATATTTTGTTTGATAAAGCACTGTGTGTCTTAAACTATGTTTATGTTTTTATTTCATAAATAACTGTTTTTACTTGTTTTGCAACTCAGGGATGCTGATTCTGTCTAGCCTCTTTAAGCCACTTCCTGTCTACATTCACTCCAGTGTCAACCGCACATCGGTGCCACTGGCCAGTTTTTGATAATGCCAACGGTGGAACATGCCGGTGCAGTATGTGTTGGCAGGGTGCCTGTAGTCTTTAGCAGGGCCACTTCAAGGCAAACTCTTCATCGGTGGCCCTTCCCCCAATTTTATGTAACATGCAGCACTTCATGCAAAGTATGATGGTATGGAGTATGTAGCGTACAGACTGTGGTGGTCAGGAATAGGGATGCACCGATACCGATACTAGTATCGGTATCGGTGCCAATGCCGAGTATTTGGGCGAGTACTCATACTCGCCCAAATGTTCCGATGCCTAGCCCAATACTTCCGGTATCAGGACGCTGAGCAGCGTGTCACTTGTGACGAAAGAGCATGGAGCCGGCTTCCCAGCCAATCAGGAAGCCGGGCAGCATGTAATGACGTGCTGCCCGGCTTCCTGATTGGTCAGAAGCTAGCCAATCAGGAAGCCAGACGCCATGTAATGGCGCCTGGCTTTCTGATTTGTCGGGAAGCCAGCTTCATGCTCCCTCGTCACCTCATGAAGAGGGAGCATGGAGCCATCTTCCCGGCCAATCAGGAAGCCGGGTGTCGCATAATTACACAGCGCCCGGCTTCCTGATTGGCCAGAAAGCCGGCTCCATGCTTTCTCCTCACCTAGTGACGAGAAGCATGGGGGCGGCTTCCCTGCTAATCGGGAAGCCGGGTGGCAAGTCTTTACATGCTGCCCGGCTTCCCGACCAATCAGGAAGCCAGGCGGCAAGTCATTACACGTCGCCTGGCTTCCTGAATGGGACTTCCGGTACTCGGTATTTGGTATCGGCGAGTACCAGAAAAAAAAATATCAGTACTCGTACTCGATACGGAAATACCGGTATCAGTGCATTCCTAGTCAGGAGTAACATACAGTGCATTGAACAAAGTTGTGTGGTCAGAAGTATATAATATAAAGCATAGTGTAAACAATAAGCTGGTGCAGAATTAATCATTTACAGTTCAGCATACAGGGTGGGGTGGTGCACACTTTATAACATGCAGCTCAGCATACAGAGTGGAGTATTTAATGCATAGACTACAAAGTCAGGTAATTTGGAGAATGCACTGTAATACACAAAACAATATTTAAAATAGGGTTGTCAGCAAAGTATGAGTTGGGCGGTCTGGAATATACTGTATAATGTACACAGTGAAGTGGTCGGAAATATATAACCTACAGAACAAGGTTCACAATGGAGTGGTTAGAAATTATGTCAGGTAAAGCATAGGATACACAGTGTAGAGTTCAGCAGTATATACAGCATAGCATACAGAACTAAGCAGTCAGAAGTATGTAATGTACAGTATAGTGAACAGAATCAGATTGTCAGGAGTATGCATTGTACATGTACATGTGCATGAATATGTAACATACAACTTAGGTATATAGTGGAGTGGTCAGAAATATATGAAATGTACAGCACACTGAGTTGGGTGTCCTGGAGTATGTAATATGCAGCACAGTGTAAAGAATTGGATAGTCTTTTGTTTGTAATGTATTCTTTTTACACTGATGCCATGCTGGACATGTAGCAGTTGAGCTATTGATGCTCATGTACATATATGATATACATAGTCTACACAGGATCATTAGACCTACTATTACAGCAAACCTAAAAGTGTCCCGGCATTGCCTTAGTTTACATATAGTGAACTTTCTCCAGGCCATTCACCAATTTTACAAGGAGAAAACCTACATATTACATAAACATTTGTATACAAGAGCCAGTTGGCTGCCTAGTTAAATTACATTCAGTTGTCATTGAACCTTAGTGCCAGTGGGTGACCACACAGAGTCTCTAAGTCGGGATCAGTACACCAGTCCAAAAGCTGCACTGTCTTTTGCTACTGCATAGGCACAGCTACTGCCTAAACAAAAGATAGCCTGTGAAGTCCTGCTGCAGTTTGCTAAGCAGACAGGGAATCAGGATGATCAATGATGAGAGATGGAGGCAGGGACAGCACTAATTTGACAGAATGGGGAGAGGCCCCTGGAGTGCTGGGCCTTGGTCAGCTGCCCTATGTGGCCTTATTATTGAGGGAGCCTTGGCCAGGGGCAGGTAATATGGTGACAACACAGGAATATAATCGGCAGACAGATGTCACCCCATAACAGAAAGAACCTTAACATGGACTATTAGCAAGACCACCAACTGTGCATTTAATGACAGCTGCATAGTTTTAATGATTAAAAACAACTTTTGGAATTACAATAACATGTTAAATCTTATATGAGATTTTGGTGATTAGATATAATCTTCTTTAATAATTGGATTCCCGTGGGATAAAAATTAATATTTCTCCCATAAATGCAATGAGATTGTATAAAAAAAAAAATCAGATTCTGCTGCATTCAAGCTACAAGACTTATGATAATGTATTCTTTGCATCAATCCTATCTTTTTCTCTTCTATTACAGCTTTACTATAAGGACCTTATTCACACCTGTAATATGATTTCTCTATTTTTCATCACCCATGTGAAAGTTATATTAATTGAAATATGTTAGTTCTTTAAGGAAGCAATGTAGTATTACAACTATTCAGGAAAGGAAATTGCATTTCATGAAGATTTCATTTGCAGTCTCTGTTCCGACAAGTCACTTAGGGAATTACTTTTGAAACCCTATGTGATACAGCATTTATTGCTTCTAAACCTGGTTCTGATCACACATCTAAACAAATTACCTTTCTCATGCCAATATCACTCAGCATCTCACAGCCATTGTTCTGACTTAGGCAGAAAACAGGCTTAGGTTTTGCAGACTTCAGACATATGTGGATAATAGAGTCAAAAATAATGTAAAATGGGTATTTCATATACGGTAGTTTAATAGAGCATCTGTTACACAAGTTAGCTATACACCTTATCATTTTGTTTCCTTTGTGAAGTAAAGTCTAATCACTTAGAGAAGATCCCTGCAAATCTAATTCTCATATTTTAATTCATACAGTTTTTTTTGCTGTTCTAGCCGTTGTTATGTCTATTCAAATTCCTTTAACCATCTTTATGTATTTATTAACTACCAGAATTCTAGTTCTAATAGTTTCGCTTTGTGTGGAATTAGGTTGACAAAACATTTTTTTATTTTAGTTCAGGGAACAGTTAGAATATCTTTATTTGCTATTTCTGTCTCCACTAAGGAGATTTCCCCTATTAGTCCAAGTGATCATTGAACCTATGGGAAATCTAAAATATTATGCTTGTCACAGGGGAAATTTTTGAATGGAGACACGCAATCCAGTGACAATTTTACTTCTCTTTGGTAGGATTTCCGCTCACTTCCTGTTGATGTCTCCAGGACAGGATGTGTAGGTAAATCTCCTCAACAGGACTCCGCCAAATAAAAAATGAGAGGTTTAAACATTTCCCTGCACTATTCAAAACTAAGAAAAAACATTTTGCCAATCATTGCACTTTACATTTAAACTGCCCAAAAGGGATTCTCTTTATGTAGAATTTGTACTGAAATGCACATGAAGGTCTGAAAAAAGATATTTCTACAAGGGAGTTTTATTGTTAAAATATGTTTTTCAAGAATTCTTTAATGAAGTTGGTGAGAATTTAAGGCTGAACTCCAGGTAGATAAAAAAAATGCACAGATTAATGCAGTGCTTCTTCAAAAGGTAAAGTAGAGGTTTTACAGCATTAAACAAGTATAAGACACCATTACCATAAATCAGTAGAGCCATAAGCAAATGTACACTGAGTGGTCAGATTATTATGACCACCTGACGTTTGTAGGCAAATTAGCTATAATTTCACGCTGAAGTTGCTAGAGGGCCAGACCATTATAAAGAGGGAAGCAGGTTGTTTACCACTACATTAGAAGTGATTTTTTTCTGAAGATATGGGTAAACAACGCGATTTAACAGCCTTTGAACTTGGGATGATTGTTGCCGCTCGGAGCCATGGAGCGAGTATCAGCCAAACAGCAGAATTCTTTAAATGTTCAAGAGCAGCTGTTGTTAAAGTGTTTAAAGACTGGACTGTCAGCCGAAAATCTGGGTCTGAACGTGTGAATTGTGTACGTCAACGACTAGTCAATGTTAGGGCAGAACGGAGAGTGGCAAGACTGGTACAAGACAACAGAAGGGCAACAGTGCAGTGTCAGATTCCTCGCATCACCTTTCAACATCTCGTGGAGTCACGAGGCGGCCCAACAAAGTCATCTCGTGGAGTTATGTCGTGGCCCAACGAAGTACTGATGGGGTGGTCATAATAATCTGGCCACTCAGTGTATAATAAACAATACAATCAGACACTTTTTAAAAGTGAAAATGCACTTCAAATTAAAACTGGAAACCCTGGAATGAGTACATCAGTGCGCATCACAGTTGAAGGTGGACCTGAAACATAGGGCAACAGCAGTGGGGCCCCAGGCTGCCATCAAGTTATCACGACTGAAAACTATAAGAATCAGAAAAAGAAATAACTGAAGTTAGAGGGGAAAAAAGAGAAAAGTCAAAGAAGAGAAAATCAAGCCAGAGGAAAAAAGGGAAGAGACAGCAAGAGAAAGAAAAAAAAAAGGGGGGGGGGGGGGGGAAAAGAGTTC